AAAAAAATTGTAATATTACTTTCTATCTTAGGACTCAAAGCTTACACTAGTATTATTAGCAATTAAAATTAATTATTGATTTTTTTAGTAAAACCAACTATGGTTGATATTCTAAATAAACCAACAACATTATCGTCTGAGAAATACGTCAGTCTCCTATGTGTGTCTGAAGGAAGTCGACCTCCCGCTCAGCTAACTTGGTACAAGAACAATAGAAAATTTAAAAGGGGAAAGGTAAATATAACTTATTAGCTGTTGCCCGCGACTCCGTCCACGTGGAATTATACAATAACGTAATTAGTAGCCTATGAGTTTTTCCAGACCATATCCTACGAGTACATATATGTATGTCAAAGAATACAAAATCTTTGTTAAAATCCATTTAGATAAATAATTAAAATTCCTCGTGTCTCACATTTATTAAGGAAACGTGTTCATAAAAACCATTCTTTTATCCATATTATCGTTGTTTTAAGAGTGTATTTAATCATCAGTTTGTTGCAGGTGATAGAAGCTGCTAATGAGACGTGGGTAAGCAGTAACCTACAGTTCATGCCGATGCCAGAAGACGATGGTCTCTATTTAAAATGTCAAGCTGACAATAGCGCCATGCCTGGAAAAAGTATTGATGATGCGTTTAAATTGGATGTTGTATGTAAGTTATAATTATTTAAAAGTTTCTAAATCCAACATATGTACGAGAAATATTAAACATGAAGCTAAGAGATTTTAATTAAACCAGATATTTTACTGGTTAACAAGACTACGTTTTTTTTAAAAAAAACAATAATTTACTAATATTAGAGTTTTGTTTTTGAAGCAATTGTGTATCGATTGTCAAATTCACTCAAAGTATTTCTAAAGTTTCTTTACATTTATTTATTTAAATTATAAATTTCCCTCAAATATGAACTTAATTTCAACTTTAACTTAATTCAAATATCTAAAATATTCAAACGCTTCGAGTATTACACTTTCAAGAATTGTTTGAAGGAATATTGTTACAAAATAAGCAATAAAGGAGCTCAGCTTAACCAGTTTGCACATCTTTAGCGGCGTTAAGCTTAATTATCGTTAGTACTTAGCACTTCCGGCGTAGCAACGGTCTCTTGTCGCTACGAGCACGACTACTTGAAGACATTCGCATGGGGATTTGATTATAAGGATTATGTTTTGCTCCCTTATGACTTTATATTTCAACTTGTATACTCTAATTTATTAATACATTTAAAAATGTTACTTATCTTTTAGACAATACATTATTAATACTCATCGCACGACTGTATAACGCTTATATTACAATTAAAACTAATGAGCTTCGTAGTGTCGAACTTCGTTACTACATCTACTCTTTCAATACACATAAAATGTGTTAAGAAACTATTTATAACTTTAGGCAATAGATAAAATAAAGGGCTGTCTCCTGAAACACTAGTTCCGAAAACAGACCCCAAAATTTTGTGAAAAATATTTACTTGGTCAATAAAGAAATTTTTTTTATTAAATACTTATGCAGCCCCTTAGTATAGATTTATAGCAATTAATTTTAAATGAATCGAAATGCAGCAGGTAATGAATAAAATTAGGTATTTAAATATAATTTTAATAAAATATACAGAGAATAATTTTTAAATTTCTCTTAATTTGTTTCTAACTGGCTTCATAATTAATACAGGTCAAAATTTCACTAACATTCTTGTTGGTATTTCAAAACTATGCACATTTACCTTAATATTCACCCTCGTCCTTCCAGAATTCAACTAATTACGCGTGTAAAGACAAAATGATTTTAGTGTTTCATTCATCAAGACATTTCATGTAAAATGTAAATATTTGGGTCTAGGCTCCGAATATGATCTTGTCCGATTCGGCGTCGAGACCCTTGGTTCGGGTCCTAGCGCTTTAAGGCTTTTTAATGACATATCAAAAAAGTTAATCGACATCACAGGGGACCGAAGAGCTGGCAGCTACCTCGGACAATGCTATCCAAACGGAGAACGCTGCCAGCATCTTCGGGACCTTGCCTAAAGGGGACTCCGTTTAATAATATATTTTAGTATAATAAATTATTCTTTTTTAATATTTTATTTAATATCATGTAAAATATTAAACTTTCACAAACATTTCAAATCAAAATGTTTAACTAAATAACAGACAGGGCCTTGAAAGTTTAACAGTAACCCATTTCATATGTTACTCCTTTTAGAACAAACAAATTTGAAACATATTCAAAGGGACGTCCAGCGAAACTTTATTAAAACCTCGTATAAGCCAACAAGAGAAACGTGAAATGTAATTAAAATCTTTTTACTTATGTTGCATTCTCTTTATGCCAACAGTTAACGTCCGTTGGACTTCCTAAAAACTAATTCAAACTACAGCCGTCGACTGTTTCCCACAGCTCACCGCTTTCTGCTGGATTTCATATTGCTTTAACATTAATTAAATTAGGTTTACTCATTTCCATATCTTTCTCTAACATTCGCTGACAAGAAGTAATAAAAATTAAAAAATAAGCATTATTTCTAACAACTTGACGACCACGTTGGCCAATAATCAACATCATCAGCTGACTATACGTCCCCACCGAGGTGCTCGGAACCTACCCTAAGTTAGGGGTGACTAGTCCATAGTTGGTTGACTTCACACATATCGTTGAATTTCTTCTCAGATATGTGCAGGTTGGATCACGATGTTTTTCTTCACCGCAAGAACGTCGGATAAATGGACATATGTAAATCGGAAATCGAAAAACACATATACCAACATGGCGGGTTTCAAACCCTGGACCTGCAGATTGCAAGTCAAGTGCTTGACCCCTGAGCCACCGACACTCCCGATAATAATATTAATTTGTTTATTCATTGGCAAATATATTTAAATAATTTATTATAATCAATTTACCTTCTAAGAAGAAAATTTGATGCAAATATATTTATTCTCGCAGCTATTAAAGATGATTATTATAATAATTCTAAGTGCCTTATTCGAGAAACGATTGTATTCAGAGACGACTAAAAGAACCTTTCTATAACAACAAGGGAAATTAATTTTTGGAAAATAAATAAATTCTATTTACTTCTGATCAACGAACCGTAACGCATTTAAAGCGTTGAGAATAACCTCGCTCGGTGCGCGAATCGTTTCGGCAACAATTTAAACGCGAACCGTCGTAAATGTTTATTTCGGGGGATGAACGTTTCCCCCTCTAGCGGTCCGACATCGTTATAGGTCTTTAATGGCCAATAAAGTGTCAACACGTGCTTTCCGCCGCAGATAACCGCTTTACCTGAGTGTTTAACCAGACACCGAACAGACCATTTCAAATCATTTACCCCAGTGGAATAGCAGACACTTTGTACAACGTACCAAGAATCAAATCCACGCAAGGCTTATAACATAGCTTCAAAAGTAAAATAAGTTTCTATAGAATAGTACGAATTGTTAATCGGACGAAATCTATTTTAAATCCTTGACATCAATCCGAATATTATTTTAATTAAATTACATCACATTGCACTCTAAATGATAGACTATGCCTTACTCTTGCTATTTTGATCTTCAGATCAATCGAACGATCAGTGAAATTTTACCTAAATTAAATTAAAATATTTTAAATATTGATAAGTAAAATTCTTTTAGACCATAGATTCTTTGTAAAAATTTGATATTTTTATCGCTCTTTCCTATATATATTGTTACTCCATGAGTAAATTCCGTGTCATTTCTGTACATAATTTTCGCAACATTGTCACAGACCCACCCGTGGTATCATTATCACTGGGCAGCACACTGAACCCGCACGACATCAAAGAGGGCGACGACGTGTACTTCGAGTGTTCAGTGCGCGCCAACCCGAGGGAACATCGTATCACGTGGTATCATAATGTTAGTAATATCTAATTTATTTTTAACTACGTTCACTATTTATACAACTTAATAACAAAATATCGTTAAATAAATTACGGAATAAGATTTATGTTTTACAAAATTTTATCCTTAAAACTGAATTAAATATGCACTTAATTGAATAAAGACAAAAGAAACAATTGAAGGAATAACAAATGCACTTCAGAAAATATTTAAATAAAGAATTTATTACACCTCTATGTTTCACATGAATGTTTCATCAGTGAGAACTTACTGCTGGAAGACTAAGCTACTAGACTTTCTAATAACCGTTAAATTACAACTTGAAATAAACTAATTGATATTATACAAATATACACAACATGTTTTATGTCAATGTGTTATCTGTTTGAATGTTTATAAATCCCAACGTATTTCATCAGGATAAAGCAGTATTACACAACGTGATAGCGGGCGTCATAGTGAGCACGAAGTCTCTGGCACTACAGAAGGTGAGCCGAGACCACGGCGGAGACTACTCGTGCCGTGCGACCAACGCGCTCGGTGAAACTGCCAGCCAGACTACACATCTAAGTATACAGTGTCAGTAATATTTTTTTATAAATACACTAACGCCAGTCCATACGTGAAAGGGATAAGGTCTCGTGAAGAACTTACTATAGAAATGATCCTTTGAAGTAAGGTTAGTATAGACCTATATAAACTTTATGAAGGCTCGTAATTTTGAACGAGAGCCCGAGAATACAATTGTATGTATTATTAGGAAGAAAATCCGATACTGTGCCGGTGTACTGTCGCATCACTAGCCTGACTAAAATGACATTTATGTCCCCTCACTAATCATTCTGACACTTGCATTGTTAATGAAAACGCGCCAATCGCGCCAAAGGATTCTAACTAACAATGTCTATGAGTGTCGACAGGATATTCAAGTGTACTCTTTCCATTTGTACTCGTAACTAACCACAAGCCGCCATAAAGATTAATTCCAATATTAAATACTAGTAGAATACTGGAAGGATTTAAGCATTTACGGCAGTATTTTACGATTCAGTTAAAAAAACGCATTCGCGAAACATCATAACATATACAGAGTGTTATGTTTCTTTTGTATTTTGATAAATCTACACCGTCAATGCTATGTTTGTAAACATAATAAATCATACAACTCAGACCGAAAGAAAGTTAGCGTTCATCGAAAACGTATCGATCATAATTATAGAAATGTAGTTTATTATAAAAATATAAATTGCTTTCATCTACGGGGATTCGTTTTATGCCAATAATAATCAATGTTATAACAAACGTATCGCACGGTTAGAAAATACCGTGACAATGATTCAGTATTGTGAGTGTAAACTTACATCAATCATGATCGACGAGAGCGTCCCCGAAATTTATATCCACCGCGTTTCTGTGACGAGCCAATTGACGACAAATTTACCTCCTATTGAATTTCTTTTCACATACCTACTGAATTTATTTATGCCATTACTGTGAACATATTCGTTAAAAGTAGAGTTTATCGTTTATTGTTCCCATATAAATCTTACCGTGGGTTCCTAAGACTAAAGTTTCTGTATAAAACATATCGTGATCCGAGTCTTTTATTTTTCATAAAAACAGTTATAAGAATATGTTTTAAACGGGGATTTTGTTCTCTGAAACCCACGGTTAATCTCGTTATTTTTGTACTTATAATCCTAGCTTATATAAACTGCTACTCTGTCTTCGACCAAAAATATTAATAATTCAATACACCTGCATAACATGCATATTATATTGGTGTAAACGTAACCCTCGTAATATTTAAATTTTAATAAAAGCGAAACTGCACAGCAAAGTTTTCTAAGTAGATACCTAAATGAATCACAGCGTGCTACTTATGCATAATTCACACGAGGGTAGAAGAGTAGGATAAAATATAATAGTACTTCAACTGTTACTACTGTTATTGTTTGGGCATAAAACAGGACAGTTTTACAGTCCATTTTGGCTGTAGTTACACGTGTATTGGCACATGATTTTACCTCACACTCTCTTTAAAAAAACAAACTTGTACCACTACAGATATGACGACTGCCACCTTTTAACAGTAAGTGAGCGTTCAACCAATAGCAGTACTACATTGTCTACTTAGACCTGTGCTTTTGTGCTACCCTCGTATGAAACTAGCCTTACTAGCGAAGAACAGTCGAGCGATAAAATGAATATATCATCTAACTTTCTTGTTATGATTTAACGAACAGAATCTACGCCCCCGCTTTTGCTTTATAATTTCAAAAACCTTTTTGAAAAGGGAATGGAACGTGATTCATAGCGTCTCGGTACAAATTAACATCAAACATTATCTCGTCTTTCTAATTAATATCTTTATGTGTATGATTGCTACGTACTTTTTGTATACAAATAATGTCATTTCTTTAAAAATCATGTCACTAGAATAACAATTGATTAATTAAAAAAAATTCTATTAAGAATTAAGTTTGATTGCATTCTTTCAAATAATTTTATTTACTAGTTAAATCTATCCTGTGCCTTCTCCTTGGACAAGGTTATCGGAATTAGTTGCTCATTTAAGTCGAAACGCCTGAACTTGAAATGATAACTATGATTAAATCATGCAACATAACTATTTTAAAAGAGTAGGCTGTTTAAATTCTTACAAATTGTCTTTATCAATAGATGCCCCGGTATGCACTCTCTCGTCACCACAAGTGCTCGGCGCACAGTTGGACGAAACTCTCCGAGTTCGTTGCTCAGTCAAAGCGAACCCACCCGACGTTACCTTCTTCTGGCAGTTTAATAATAGCGGAGAAAGCCTAGATGTGGCACCAGCTAAATTTGGTAAGCTACTACGTAATAAACTATTAACAACACTAAATATAACTATTAGACTAATGTATATATATAAGTGTAGGCACCGCTTAGTTCGAATTGGACCTGTTTGAAAAAGTTATTGATAAAAAAGCATCCTTCTATGAATTGATTTATGATGCGAACCAAGTTAAAAAAAGAAATTTGATATTTTGCAATTTTTGTAATCAATTTTTTACAGACCAGATTTCTTGTATTTTAAACCATATCAACACCAAATGTCGAAACATAAGTCTCTAGAAATATTAGTGATGTTACAGAAAATACATCTATGTATTTTATCGCTACAGGAATAACAAATGGGAGCACAAGCGAGTTAAGTTACAAGCCGCAGAGCGAACGTGACTACGGTACGCTCAGTTGTCGCGGCAGCAACTCCGTCGGTCGGCAACTCGAGCCCTGCGTGTTCCAGATCGTACCTGCCAGTAAGCTGTTTATAGTTTGAATTCTGTTTTTGCTACGAATTTATTTTATTCACGTTGAATATTCCTCAGTAAATATAATTTATAGTTTATCATAATCTTATTTAAACATTATCAACCATACCTCTGCATGGCTTAGACCTTGATAACGATATTGAGAAGAATTACATCTTAGGGTCCGAAACAAAACTTTGAAACTTGTGTAAATCAGACAACGAATTCGTCATGCTTTTTTAATTTAACTACTTAGTCAAAGTTAAGCTAGGATTTTATTTTAGCGCGACCGTCTCCACCGCGCAACTGCTCTTTAAAAACCAGTAACAGCACGGAAGGAGACAGCAATCTTCTGCAGGTGTACTGCGTGGCAGGCTACGACGGTGGTCTGCCGCAGTCCTTTGTATTGGAAGCATTAGACCCTGTTACTGGGAAGACTCGATATACTGAATCTGTCGCAGAGTCGGGTAAGGACGATAAAAATTCTAGACAACGATTTCAACTAAGATACAGATTAAACAAGAAGATCAGTATTATAAAATTGAAATAATGAAATTAAACCCTATGTTTTAGATGGTTTGGCTTCATTTTGGTTAGACGTAACACATGTATCTACAGGAATTGATAACGATGGAGCGACTTTTAATCTTCTTATCTATGCCAAAAATTTGAAAGGTGAATCGGAACGAACACTTTTAGAAAATATTGCATTCAATGACGCAGCTAAACATACAGGTAAAATATATTTTTATTGATTTATTAATGCATATTGTATTCCTTTATGCATCTGTATCAGTCATCATTATAAGAATTTAAATATTTTTTTAGATGGAAAAGGTACTATGGGTAATATAACCATGGGTGTCGTAGTCGCAGCAGCTTTGGGAGCGACTCTTGCAATCGGTAGTATAGCGTTGGGGGCCGTTTGTTCCCGTCGACGTCGGTCACACCCCCCACATAAGCATCCTCCGGGAGACATGCTGGAACTGAGTGATGGAGGTCGAAGATACGTTGTCGCTTACACTATAAAACCATCAGAAGCCAAGACACCAGATCCGCAGCCAGATATTTTGAATGCTCCTGGTAAGTTTTCAACTTCGAAAGGTGTACAAATATCTTCTGTTTTTAATTCTTTTCTAAAATAATCCAAAAACAAAAGAATACGTAATAATAATTTGATTTTAACAGATGTTGAAAATCAGTCGTCGCCACAAAAAGTGCTAGAAGCTGATGAATGGCCTACCATAAAGGAAGTTCGAAGTAAGTTAAAAACAAACATTTCATAAGCAATTTAAATTTTAAATATTTCTTCCTTATCTTTTCCTTAATACAAAGAATTCGTGTCAGCATAAAATGTTGACAATCGAACAACAAAATCCACACGTGTTCTACAAATCAATTGAGATCAGTAAACTCCACATAAGACCTCAGTCACGAAGGTAGAAAGCACTAACCTTCGCCGCAAAGCGAATTGTAAAACAGCTTTTAAAGTTGTTGCTAACAATTTCATTAGAGCGAGCAGTGGGAACAAAATCAATTTTCTCTCGTACTCTGGAATTTAAAGCAAACGCCTAATACAATGTTGTTTGCTATTCTAGCGCACTGGCTGAGATGATTACATTTTCTTTATTGCCACTTCTAATACAAAGTTATAATGTAGCTGAATAAATAAAATTAGAATTACTCTTGTAATATTAATAGAAATTATCGTCTTATAGTAATTTTTTTATTAAAATGTTTTCTTTTCTTTTGAAGGTGATTGGGAAAATTCAGGGCCAGTGTTTTCAGCAGATGATTTAGCTATGCTTGATTCTACAATACAAAAACAGGTAATGCATACTCATTACTCGTATTTGTACAGGATTGTACATGACATATTGCTGTCACTGTCTTTTCAAAGAATATGATAGAAATGACAATATTTTAACATGTGTCTTCCTGCGGCAGTACCGTAGATTAAATGGTATTGTGCTTATCGATTTGGTGATGATACAATTTTATATTCTTTATATAGGATGTTACTAAAATGACTAGAACAAAATTTAATAATTGGTAATGTAAATAACCTTGTTGTTAATGGCTTCATTAGACCAAAGTAATAATTAACAAATTGTATATTAATTCCTTATTTTATTTCCAGCTAACACCAAATAACGAATTAGTGACAAGTAATAGACAAGAAGATGTAATTAATCAAAATTTATCAATGGAATTTTCTAATAATTATAGGCCTAGTTTCATAGCTACTAATAGTCCGACATTAGGTAGCCCTAATTTTGTATGTCCTAATGGTAATGGGAGTCCAACATTTGAAAACCATCCAACTATAAGTATAACTGGACCTTCCTTAAGTTCAGGAAGTTTAACTTCAACTTTACAAAGAAATAAAGGTAAAACTATCCCACGGAGAAGAGAACATGTGTTGGCAGAAAATTTACCAGGACCCGAAAGTTGTGTGTAAATTGAACTTTTTCTAAAATCAGTGCCAGTAAACATTTATTTTTATAATATTCTATGTCTATAAATCTAGTCCTTCCTATAAATTATACTTGTATTATTTGGTTTGAGTCGATAGTAAAATGTATCAGAGAAATCAAGGATTTAAAATTATAAACATTTGTCATAATTTGTAACCAAGTATTATGTATTGTAAAATTTATTTTATATTCCTTACGAAGACAATAATAACTAATTTTCCAAGATGTTTGTGTAATTCCCAAATGTATAATATTTTCTTAATTTCTCTAATTATATTATATTAAATTTGAAATATCAAATGAATGAAAATCAAGGAATAAATTGAACTAATATTATTGTTGTTAGAATCTCTACTTTTATTATTTTTAATAAGCAACGCTTTAGCTTCGTTTAAGCTAAATGTTAATTTCAAGTGGAATCGGAATTTACCATGGGTTTCTGAATCCAAAATTCCCGTTTAACACATTACTTTGGTTTTTCAAAACTAATGAAAGGGATTACAAGATGTTTTATACAGAGATTTTGACCTCAGAAACGGTGATTGAGTTTTAAAAACTTCCAATTCGATATTTGAATATTTTCAATTATGTAAAATTCTCTTGCTCAAACTAATTATGTTATCTACGACCATATAGCAACCACTATTTGGAAGACTGTATAGTTTATGTATAAATTAATGTTAAGATGTGTTTAGATTATGAATTGTAATTTAAAAAAATTAAATACTTTATGTTGTATGTGAATAGTTGCTTGTAGATTATTGTGCTTATATAATTGGTTGTGTGAATGTAAATATAAATATAGAAGTAGTGAAACTTTTATGTAAAATAATGCCCTATGTAGCGCTATAATAATGACTCACCGTGGGTTTCTAAGACCGTAACCCTTGTATAAAACATATTGATATCCCTGTTTCATCAAAGATTATCTGTAGCCCGCGAATCCGTACGCGCGAAATTAAAAAAACACAATTACTTAATAAAGTTTAAATTGACTCTACATTTGATTTACAAAACGTTAACATGGGAAAAAGAAAAGGGCTGTTTTTAAGGTTTTCCGGCAATTATTGGAATTCTTCCGACCTTTTAAACCATCCCTAGACCTCCACAAACATTTCAAGACCAAGATAAGATAAATCCGTTCAGCCGTTTACGAGTTTTAGCGAGACAAACGAACAGAAATTGTTTTTATATTATATAATATATATAGAATTAAAACAGGGATGACGATATGTTTAAACAGATTTTGGTCTCGGAAACCAACTGTTAATCGTTTTGTTTGATGCATTCAGAGTTTACAAGAATAATTATTTATAAAATATGTTTTAATCATTGTTTTACTTTTGCCATCAGTGTTAGTATAGAAGAGCTTCACTGAGCGCGAATGGCCTGAAGACATGATTTTATATTGAAAAATAAATAATTATTTCTATACTTGTATTTTTATTTATTCCTGTTATTTAAAACACATATTCAATTAAAACACAGTTGTTCAAAACAAAAACACAAATTTACATTAATCCAAGAAGTTGTAAGCTAAGATCATACGAATTAAATTTTTTGCGGCCGGTAAGTCGCCTTTGCTTTTTACATAAGATGTCTTAAAGGCCGAGTTAATGCCGGAACCGGGACGCATGAGAATTGCTTTCAAGTAGACCTTTTTAATTAGTCGCTGCCTTTTTTAACTCCCCCTCGCTCTTTCAATTTCATGATACGAAGATGAAAAATGCTTGGACTGTTAACGCGATTCAATTATTTTTTAAATATATGTTATATACAAAAATGAATTCCAATTATTTAAGATTTCATACTGGAATAGATTTAAGTCTTTAAATTGTCTTTTCTTTTAAGCAAATCTAAGAAAAATACTGTTTGATTTGCAAAGCATGGATTTCATCAAAACTTAATACATTTGAAAAATGACAAAGGACTCAGTAATATGGGCTACTTTTCATCATTGCGACTGACTATGATTGGATACTATGCAATATTCTATCAAAACCAGTTTTAAAATGTATTCAGTAAAATTAAAAGTAATTGAATTTCAAACTTAAATTACTACGTTATTAATTAAGTTGTGGTTACGTTTTGGTTTTATAAAAGCATCGAGTAACAAAAGAATTTCAATTTGCTGCAGAGTCGCACAATCCCTTTCAGCTATTACATTAAGCAATTCATAACGTCAAAATTGATTTGCGCCTTCCTTGTACATTTTGATTAAGTTACATGCTTTATATTTTAACGTATGATTTAAATAAATTGTATATATCTAATAATTATCCTTCTTACTAACCAATAATTATTATTACGAAATATTTCTCTTAATAGATAAAAAATTAATAACTGTAGTTCACGCCCATGACTACGTCCGCGCAAAATTAAAAAAAAACTTAATTAGTAGCCTATGTGTTCTTCGAGTTTACGTTCTACATCCATGTCAAATTTCATTGAGATCCGTTGAGCTATTCTGTTGGTACCTTCTAACAATCATCCGAAATCATCCATACATACATACATTCGCATTTATAACATGAGTAAGATTGATATTTTTTAATGTTTTTAGCAAACATTTCATATTTCAAGAGTTTTACTTAACTCTTAAAGATCGTGTTGTGCATTAAAATTGTTCTCACTCGTTACTTCCTCGACGGATATTTATTACATTCTACCCTAACGTAAATAGAGCTCCTGTTTTCATCATAGTTTATTGGTATTTTAATATTTCATCGCCTTTAATACATATATCTCTTACAACATTGTATTATGCAATACTTAGTTCAGCTATTAAGATAAAGAAAAATAACAAAAGCTATAAAATTAAGTACTTAATATTTACTCGACCGACTACTCTAATAACGATTACTGTACCGACTACGCGACTGACTACTCCTTCAACTACTCTACCGATTACTTGACCAAACTCAACCAATTACTCTGCCGGCTACTCTAACGATAATTGTACCGACTACGTACCAACTACTCGTCCGACTATTCGGCCAACTACTCTACCAATTACTTGACCAAACTCACCGACTACTCTAACAATTATTGTACTGACTACGCACCAACTACTAGTCCGACTACTCTACTGATTACTTAAATAAACCCAACCAATTACTCGACCGACTACTCTACCGACTACGAGACCAAATATTTGTATGACTATTCGACTGACTACTATCCAGTTTTGGATAAATAGGTTATGTTTACAAAGTAACAACTTGCAGTATTTCTACAAGAATTTCGAACGTTTATCGAAGTATAACTTCCTGTGGGGCTCAGCCGGAAATTGTCCGTCAACTCGATCGGCTTAACCCAAATTATGTATTGTTATTGCTGTCACTGATTCTGAACCTGCAGAATTTCAACTGAACTTGTAACGGATATTATAAGCTATGAATTTACGTTGTTAAATGTATATAAAATCATATTTAAGAGGATTAACGTATATACTACTAAGGTTATTTGTAATTTATTTATAAATTAAGACAAAAAAATATACTAATACATATAAAGAGGAAAAATTTAGGTGATTGCATTGAATAAGCTACAAAACTACTGATCCGATTTGATAAAAATCTTTTACTATTGGGAAGCTACACTATCCTGGGTGAGCAATTCTACACGGACGTATTTGCGGGCAAATAATATCTTACTGTATATTGTACATATTATAAATGGTAATGTTAGGATGGATGGACGTTTGTTTGAAGGTATCTCCAGAACGGGGATCTCGACAGAATTTGGCATACAACACTTAGGGTATTCAGTTTTTCTTTCGGTTTTCGACAGCTAGTTTGTTATAAGCTAATGCGTTATAAGGTTCTTTTTATAGTAGACAAATAGGTATATTTAAAAGTTCGTTAATAAAATTACCTACTTAGATCTAAGTTAATTTCAATGCAGTATAACTTAGTCTATCAAAAGCATGTTGTGTGTAAGTGATTACTTGCGCTGCATGGAAGCGAGCTGCTAATGAGCGACATAAATTAGACGAAGGAAGCCTTAGCTCCTATCTGCTACCAACCCGCGTCGTTCCAGGCTCTTTTGAACTAGATAAAGACATGTTTAGTCGCAAAATTATTACAGTAAAATTAAATAACGTAAAAAGACATATGTTAAAGGTGACTTTGTTATTATTATGTTATCAAAATTATCCTAATCAAAATATAGTATAATAAATATGTTGCGACAACATCTTACAAATAAATAATGATGATGTTTACTAGTTGTAGCCCGCGACTGTGTCCACGTGGTATTTAAAAAATAATAATAAGTAGTCATGTGTTCTTTTAGACTATGTTTTATATCTATATACCAAATTTCATGCCAAGATCCATGTAGTCATTCTGCAAATACCTTCTAACAATCATCCATCCATCCGATCTTCCAAACATTCGCATTTATGTTATTAGTAAGAAACGATGAAAACCTTTTTAAATTAATTTTTAATTTAAGCAATCTTTAAAATATAATGATATTTAAATAACATAATAAAGGACAAGTTTAAACCATTTGATAAGTTTTATTGGTCCTCTTTGTAATGTTTGACATTTAAATAAGAAACCCAATATATTTGTACCCTCTAGAATTAAAGACGTCGTACGCTAGTGATCGCGTAACGAAGTTCCAGGTAATAAAGCGGGTCGCCGTCCAATTTTTACAGACTCGTAAGCCCCAAAGATTTATTGAACGGCTGGGGTTTCGAAAACAATACATTTCTTTTATGTGTTTAGTTTGCTGCCACAATAATGGAGCTTTAAACACATATAGTGAATATACAGTAAACGTACAGCATGTAATTATTTCGTATAAGGTTTCACTTTACACTGAGACTTTGTTTATATCATGAGGTGGCAAACTAGCAAGCGGGCACTTGAAATTGCTATAATAGCGAAGCGACCCTTACCCATAGACATACACAATTACAGATGCATTGCCTACTCGACGGAGGAGGGGATGCACATATATAAAATATTTTCCCTTCCCGTGCATCCTCTTATCCGGAAAATCCACATCCACTTCCAATCCTTTTCTTATAAGAGA